AGTCATTGATTGTGTTTGCTGAAGAAAGAGATACCAAGAGTTACTGACTACCTCTTGAGTTATTACTTGATCCTCCTACTGGTAAACTTTATGAGTTATTAAATGTTGGTGATAATAAGTTTTTTTTTGATGTTTTCGGTGTTTAGATTTATATACTTGTTGTCCCCTCTCTCTCTCTCTCTCTCTCTCTCTCTCTCTCTCTCTCTCTCTCTCTCTCTCTCTCTCTCTCTCTCTCTCGTTACAAATTTTACCGCAGATAACCACTAACCCTTTATTTATTGCCACACACTGTTGCTTTGTAATAATCTGTATATACAGCACACCTGTAGTACAGATGTGTGTAGCGGTGAGGGGGAGAATGTGTCCAACTATATGACTCAACACAGTGTAAATGAACCTTTATTCAGCACACCAGGAGGCGGTGTACCACCTTCACCATTTATAAGAGAGGGCATTTATCAACAGCCCCGGGCAAGAACCAACGACCCTTAAGGCAGGAGGCAAGCGTTGTATCCACCCGCCCGCCGCTGCACCGTATAAACCATCATTGTAACAAGGTAAAGCTTGTTACTGTTAATTAATGAAGGTGAAGAACTCGTTCCATCACATTAAACTTTATGACCACCTAAGCTCATAATGGTTGTGTTATAACTGGTGACGGCAGACTGAGGGCGTTATGGTAGGGAGGCTCCACCACTACTCACTTATCCCTCATTAATCTGTTGCATCCTCACTGTAATACCCCACGTTATTAGCTGTTATCAGTATATCACAAGTGTTAGCTATAAAACAGTAGAGAAAATGAACTAAATGATCTGGCCCCGTCTCGCAGGTGGCCCCATCCCTCAGGTGGCCCCATCTGTCAGGTGGCCCCGTCCCTCAGGTGGCCCCGTCTGTCAGGTGGCCCCGTCCCTCAGGTGGCCTCGTCTCTCAGGTAGCCCGGTCTCTCAATTGGCCATGACAGCTCTCTCAGTCTATACAGCACATGGCCACAAGTCTTATCTCACTCCTAACCCCAAATGATATAATCTTAGACCACAAATTATACTATACACTAATTGTTTAAGATTTATCGAGTAATAGATTCAACAATAAGTACAAGAATCTACAGTGAAATATGAGCTTGTACTATAAGGTGTTGGATTCCGTTATTGGACACTGAATCCTACTATAGGTAACTAAATTCTACAGTAAATCACACTACACTAAAAAATGAATCAGGTTTCACTCTTAGCTATTGTCTTTTTTTTTCCACGAGGAATTGTAATCCTTTTAAATAGACTAGAACCTGTTTTTTTCTTACTCAGGTAGACTCTAACACCAGCCTCTATTGAATCCGAAGTCGAGATAATTGTTTTTAAGTCATTTTTTATTTAGACATTTTTGTACCTTGTTTCTGTTACGTTAAATATTAAATAAATAATTGTTTACTTAGTTGTGAACGACGTTTTGAAGGAGAATTCCGTCGGTGTATCACAGTGTCCACTCAGTACCATCTGGCCTGGGGCGTGTTGCACTTATTGTCAATTATAACTTCCAGTGTAATAATTCTCGTATAATTCCCGGCATTTATAAGCTTAGCCAGTTATTATCACCTTACGTATGTTATATAAATTACGGAAATATTTACTGAAAAGCCGTTCTGGATGCAATTATCGTACAGCGGGCAGAGGAAATAATTGCCAATGAGGCAATAATGTGGCGGTGTATGTAAGCACTTTACTCATTACTTCATTACTCTATCATCTCGTGAACCACACTTAATGGCTCCTAAGTTGTGTGATAACTCACCCTCGCCCTCCACCGTAAGGAGTCGAGGCAGAAGATGATAATAATAGGACCAAACAGTAGGGTCGGCCTGATCTTTATCGGGACCGGGTGAATCCCTCTCTTATCTCCTCTCATTAGCGTATCTTAATCTTCATGATAAGTCTTCTGAAAATCATCACCTAGGAGAGGATCCCTAATGATGTTGGCGTTGAAGGCTAATGGAGGTGCCAGCAGTGTTAATCAGAGCCTTTATACGGCTCCCGAACTGACGTGGGGCGATGGGCTTTTGTTTCACTTACGGGCGGGTGTTTATGGCGCTATTTACTGATGGTAATGTTTATCCCTCAAGTATATCGTATATCCTAAGTGTATTATAGCTACGGCTGTTAAGATCTTTATCACCTAAGGTTCAAAATAATCTGGAGGTAGTTGAGGAAGGGTAAAAAAGCCTTAATATTAGACAAACATGATCTAAATGAGCAGTGTTGGCTGGCGTCTTTTAGCTACCAATATTGTTGTGGAAATTATACCAAAACCATTTTCGTTTTTAACATTCAAAATTGACGTAATCTTTAATCTCCCTTAATACAGACATTCTAAAACACTATACACTTCCATCTTTATTTCCCATTAGGATTTTTTTCTTCTTTGAAATAAATTAGAGCGATTTATTCCCCTTAATTACAAAGAAGAAGTAATTTTTGGAGTCTGTAGTTTGCTTTTGTACATCATCTTATCTCAATACAAAATGAGATCTTTACTTCTCTACATAATCATTTAATTATCTGTCAGAAGACTTAACACCACAGATGATCTTCAACAAAAACAAAACCCCTTTCATTTTTTATTCACCCAAATGTAATTAAGGATTGATTTATGTAATTAGTATTCAGTTGATGATTATGCTAATATTATTCAAATACATTACTGGACTCACTGCCAGTATGGAATTATTTTACAGGATTATTTTTTTCTTTATTATTTACTTACCGTATTTATGTCGTTTTATGTTCAATATATGAGTTGGTGGTGTGTGTGAGAGAGAGAGAGAGAGAGAGAGAGAGGAAGAAGGAATCTCATGGGTGACCTGACCTGACCTGACCACCTGGCTTCCTGACCTCATTAGTCACAGTTTGACCTAATGATGGAGGAGTAGGAGTAGCAGGGTGCACAGGTGTGAGGTGGTCAGTGCACAGGTGAGGTGGTCAGTGCACAGGTGAGGTGGTCAGTACACAGGTGAGGTAATCAGTGCACAGGGTGAGAGTGCACAGGTGAGGTGGTCAGTGCACAGGTGAGGTGGTCAGTACACAGGTGAGGTAATCAGTGCACAGGTGAGATAATCAGTACACAGGTGAGGTAATCAGTGCACAGGTGAGATAATCAGTGCACAGGTGAGATAATCAGTGCACAGGTGAGATAATCAGTACACAGGTGAGGTAATCAGTACACAGGTGAGGTAATCAGTACACAGGTGAGGTAATCAATACACAGGTGAGGTAATCAGTGCACAGGTGAGATAATCAGTACACAGGTGAGGTAATCAGTACACAGGTGAGATAATCAGTGCACAGGTGAGGTAATCAGTGCACAGGTGAGGTAATCAGTGCTTCTCAACCAACATTTTATCATTCTTCCGTCTGTTAGATAGTCTGTATGAGGGACTGTAATCTACCTAATTAACTTATCTACCTCCTGGATGTCTACCTGTCTACTAATCGTTACCTGTCTACCTGTTATCATAGGTCCTACTTCCCTCATAATATAAACACCTCTCACTTACCTGTCTCTCTACCTTTGTAAATACCTCACCAGCTTCCCCATTTACCTACTTACCTACCTACCTACCTGCCTACCTACCTGCCTACCTACCTACCCCTACCCCCTATCAGTTTATCTACCTATCCCTTACTAGTTTATCTACCCACATACCTAGCCCCTATCCCCTACCCCCCTTACCTACCCCCTATGAGCTTATATACCTATCCCTTACTAGCTTACCTACTTACCTACCCACATACCTATCCCCTACCCACCCCCAGCAGGTCCCTGGCTCATCAGTACACAGGCATCACCATCCTCCCTCGCCTCTCCCGACCTCATCACTCGACTTGTGGCGGAAAATATCAACAAGTGGTGTTAATCTTGTCCGGTATTGGGGCCTCACGTCCGCCATTGTTATTACCCACAATGCCACGCCTCCCTGACAAAAGCAGCGCGAAATGCGGCGTTTATTGGAGATATCAGGAATTTGGTCACGGTGCGTTAAGAGAGAATATGTGTTTGTTTAAAAGTGGTGGTGGTGGTGGTGCTTAGTGAGGGGTGCTGTTCTCTCTCTCTCTCTCACTCACTATTCCTCTCTCTCGGCTGTTGGGGCTTGTTTCTTGATCTCTCTCTCTCTCTCTCTCTCTCTCTCAGTCTCTCAGGTTAGACTTTGTTTTGATCGTGGCGGCTTACCTTGTGTTGGTCACCTGGAGTTTGCCTGTTGGCGCTGGTCCGCTGACATCACCTGGAGAGAATATAGACATGTCATGATAACTAGGTTTGGTTAGGTTAGGGTAGGTTAGGGGAGGTTAGGGTAGGGTAGGTTAGGGTAGGTTAGGGTAGGGTAGGTTAGGGAAGGTTAGGGTAGGGTAGGTTAGGGTAGGTTAGGTAGGTTAGGGAGGTTAGGGTAGGTTAGGTAGGTTAGGTAGGGTAGGTTAGGGAGTGTTAGGTGTAGGGTAGGGTAGGTTAGGTAGGGTAGGGTAGGTTAGGTAGTTAGGTAGGGAGGTTAGGGTAGGTTAGGGTAGGTTAGGGTAGGGTAGGTTAGGGAAGGTTAGGGTAGGGTAGGTTAGGGTAGGTTAGGGTAGGTTAGGGTAGGTTAGGGTAGGTTAGTAAGTCAAACTTCCTAAATAATCAAAAGTTTGTTATGTTTTTTGGTTGACATTCATCATTGTTAAGAATATTATTAAAGTGTGACCTCTACGTGATGTTAATTATGATTATTATGAGTTTAATTACTTTTAAAGATGTGTGTAGTGTGAGGGCGGCAGGAACAGTGTGAGGGCGGCAGGAACAGTGTGAGGGCGGCAAGAACAGTGTGAGGGCGGCAGGAACAGCGAAGGTGAGCGCTACTGCAGGCAGACGGAGGGTAAATGGTCTCCTTGCGTGTGACTACAGGGCGGAGAGGATCACCAGACGCTCGTGACGGCGTTGTTTTTATGGTCGAGGCGAGACAATAAAGAGATCAAGTTATGACTCAGGTAAGTTAACAGGTGGAAGTTGTAACGTAACATTAAGACCAAATAACTAACCTAACCTACCCTACCCTAACCTAACCTAACCTAACCTAACCTAACCTGCCCTACCCTAACCAAACCTGCCCTACCCTAACCTAACCTACCCTACCCTAACCAAACCTGCCCTACCCTAACCTGCCCTACCCTAACCTAACCTACCCTAACCAGAAGAGTATACAGGTAATACTTGACTCACACGAGAAGTCAATAACCAAACAATAGTGACTTTAATTAATATCTTTCATAATAAAGTTAGTGGAACAAGATGGCCGCCGCTTAGCATATACAACTTTCACAATAATATACAACAAAATAAATAAATTAAGTTATAAGATGAACTGAGATAATGATATATGTATGTATGACTGTTAATGACACACACACACACCCACACACACACACACACACACACACACACACACACACACACACACACACACACACACACACACACACACACACACACACACACACACACACACACACACACACACACACACACACACACACACGGTAGTAGTGACTTCAACACCTACAGGTAGTGATCTTCAGAGCGTGGGCTAGTGTTGAGGTTTTCAGCAAGGTGAATATTATTTCTTTTCTCTCTCTCTCCCTCTCCCCCTCTCTCCTCTCATCTCCCCTCTCCCTCCTCCTTTCCCTCTCTCTCCCACCTATCCCCCCTCACCTCCCCCCTGTACACCACTCTACTACGTGTGGGTCTTAAGCATTAGTGGTAGAGAGAGAGAGAGAGACAGAGAGAGAGACAGAGAGAGAGAGAGAGAGAGAGAGAGAGAGAGAGACAGAGACAGAGAGAGAGCATACACCAGCCGAGAGCCTTATTAATACCCCCAGTAATTGTATGTCATTAGCATAAAGAGGATTTCACGCCTGGCCATTGGTCGGAGCTCTGGGGGGGCAATGATGGCGGGAGAAGGAGAGGAAGGAAGGAAGGAGAGGAGAGGAGGGAGGAGAAAGGGAGGAAGGAGGATGAAGGAGTAAGGATGAAGGAAGGACACGACACACACACACACACACACACACACACACACACACACACACACAACAACAACAACAACAACAACAACAACAACAACAACAACAACAACAACAACACATCCCAAAATAAAATATCTCACTCAATGAAAAAAAAATAAAATAAAAATAAAAAATAAATAAATAATGAAGACAGAGACAAATTACTAAGACGAAACATGACGTAAAAAAATAAGACCTCACACTCCACACCCTCACAAGACTCCATTAACTTAAGTTGTCCCAAAAAAGGTTGAGGGAAGCTTGCATAGAAAACGTAAACCTGACCCGATGGATAACTTCTCTAATTGCATTATAATTATACACACGATACACGATACATCCCCATCACTGTCGTCGTCTCCACTAGCGTCCCTACAATAAACCGCTTAAACCCTCGCTAAATGAACCACACATAAAACGCTTTAATACTCAATAAACCAAAATATTTCACAAATGGAGTTTAAACCAGGCGTGAGGGTATCTTGTCTGGTTTAATCTTACTTAATTTGTGGGTTTATTATCGTTCCTTCCCGACAGTGGTTTAGGGATTGTGGTCTAATGTGGAGGATTGTAAGTCCCGGGGAGACCTATTGTGGCCTTAGACGGGAGAGAACTGTAGAGAGACGGGAGAGAACTGTAGAGAGACGGGAGAGAACTGTAGAGAGACGGGAGAGAACTGTAGAGAGACGGGAGAGAACTGTGGAGAGACGGGAGAGAACTGTAGAGAGAGAGGAGAGAACTGTAGACTTTATTTTGATGTTACGTTAGGTTAGGTTGTTATTAAAGAAGTTAGTTGTTGTTAAATTTATAAGACCAGTCAGGTCCCTGCAGGTCACGCAGGTCCCTTATCTCAGGTACTGTAGACACACTAACATCTGAGGCACCTGGTTGATGTAAGGCTCTCCAGGTCCCCATGCCTCCTTCATCCCCACATCCCCAGGTCCCCCCACGCCTCCCAGGTCCCCCACGCCTCCCTGGTCCCCCCCCTACGCCTCCCAGATCCCCCACGTCCCCAGGTCCCCCCCACGCCTCCCAGATCCCCCACGCCTCCCAGATCCCCCACGTCCCCAGGTCCCCCCACGCCTCCCAGGTCCCCCACGCCTCCCAGATCCCCCCACGCCTCCCAGATCCCCCCACGTCCCCAGGTCCCACCCCCACGCCTCCCAGGTCCCCCCACGCCTCCCTGGTCCCCTACACCTCCCAGATCCCCCACGCCCCCTGGTCCCCCACGCCTCCCAGATCCCCCCACGTCCCCAGGTCCCCCCCCCACCTCCCCAGACGCCTCCCCCCCCCACGTCCCCAGGTCCCCCCACGCCTCCCAGGTCCCCCACGCCTCCCAGATCCCCCCACGTCCCCAGGTCCCCCCACGCCTCCCAGGTCCCCCACGCCTCCCAGATCCCCCACGTCCCCAGGTCCCCCACGCCTCCCAGATCCCCCCACGTCCCCAGGTCCCCCCCACGCCTCCCAGGTCCCCCACGCCTCCCAGATCCCCACGTCCCCAGGTCCCCCCGCCTCCCAGGTCCCCCCACGCCTCCCCTGGTCCCCAGATCCCCGAGGTCCCCCCCTACGCCTCCCAGATCCCCACGTCCCCCAGGTCCCCACGCCTCCCAGATCCCCCACGCCTCCCAGATGCCCAGGTCCCACGTCCCCAGGTCCCCCCAGTCCCCCACCTCCCAGATCCCCCACGTCGTCCCCCCACGCCTCCCAGATCCTCCCAGATCCTCCCACGTCCCCAGGTCCCCCCACGCCTCCCAGGTCCCCCACCCCCCTACGCCTTCCCAGATCCCCACAGGTCTCCCACGCCTCCCAGATCCCCCCACGTCCCCGCCCCCACGCCTCCCACGTCCCCAGGTCCCCCCACGCCCCCCATGAGGTCGTGTTTACAGGTCATCCAGCAGAGACCCCCATCTCAGTCAGGTCTCACTAGTACGACCACCTGATACGACTGTTATCTCCTCCGGAACTTTCGTCTCTATGTTTAAGATACCATAAGGTTGATTTTGACATTATATTACCAAGTGGATATATGCCTGTTTACCTCTTAATGCCCCAGAGAGAGTTGTACACTAATTAACGCCATTGATTTTGGGAAACCGAACTATCTAATTGGCAATCTGAGACGGCCTGGCTCAAATGATAACCAGACACGATGGATTCTTCACTATAAGGTCTATTTTCACCATACACATCTATCTGTACGCCAACTTTAAGGTATGAGGTGAGATAGCACTGTTTTGGCCCCAGACGCAAGGACTCGGTAGCCAGGATGTGTCAGTCGAGAGATAGAGGGCGTGTTGTGGCGAGAAGTGTCTTTCAGTTATTATTATTATTTCTCGTTTATAACCTTCCTGCTTTACTCTCCTTCATTATCTATATCTGTTAATAATATTCAAGGAGTATATAACAGTGTGTATATTTCTCTCGGGGGTCAAATATGTATTAAGGGGTAAAAGTGAGTGTAGTGAAGCGCAAGGTGGCGGGAGTCAATCAGAATGTCAACAAGTTAGCGCGGGTGATGGATGCCTCTACCTGCCTTGCCTCAGGCCTACACACACACACCCACACACACGCGGATATTTTACAGGACACTTAGAGACTAAATCAAATTCATTAAAACAGACAGACAGACAGACCAGAGATGAGGTGAAATAGGGAGGGAGTGGAAGAGTGGAGGGGTGGAGGGGTTGTGTGGAGGGGTGGAGGGGTTGTGTGGAGGGTGTGGAGGGATTGTGTGGAGGGGTTGTGGAGGGTGTGGAGGGTGTGGAGGGGTTGTGTGGAGGGTGTGTGTGGAGGGTGTTTGTGTGGAGGGGTTGTGTGGAGGGTGTGGAGGGGTTGTGTGGAGGGTGTGGAGGGGTTGTGTGGAGGGTGTGGAGGGGTTTTGTGGAGGGTGTGGAGGCTGTAGATGGTGAAGTTTGGTTGAAGAGGAAGAAATAGAGGGGAAGATAAATGGAAGAAAGGCAAGGTAAGAAAGAAGGGGAGGAGGGAGGGAGGGAGGGAAGAGGGTAGCTATATGAGAAGGAAGTGAGGTGGGAGGGAAAGATATAGGAATATGGGTGGGTAGGGAGGGAGGGTGAGGGAGGGACGGAGGGAGGGAATGTACAATATGTAGGAAGGAAGGGAGGGAGCGAGATAGGGAAGGAATAAATAAAGGAAGGAAGGAGAGAGGAATGTGGGTAAACTAGTAATAGGTACATGGGTAAATAAGTAAAACGTTCAGAGGTAAATACGCGTAAATCACCAAGGCTAAGGTAAGGTAGATCAGGTAAACTTGTGGATAGATTAACAAACGAGTAGGCAGGTAAGTGGTAGGTAAATGATTAGGTTAATTGTTAGGGTGGTAGTAGGTAAACAGACAGGTAGGTATATGCTGATAACCACAAGGAAAAAGAAAACACGAAGTTCCCAAGCGCTTTCGTGTAATTCACATCTTCAGGGGTGAGTACAGACAGGTAGGTATGGGGGATAAGCAAATAGTTACCTGGGCAAGAACGAGTCGGGGTCTGGGTACCTCTCAATAAATAGTTTTTTCTTTAACTTTTTGTTGTTTTATTTATATTTGTATTTGTTAATTAATTTACATATTTATTTATGTATAGATATAGTGATTTAATTTATATGATTGTCTATATATAATTTAATATATAAACAGATTATATGAATTCATCAACACACAATTAAAACTTCTCACAGGCATCAGGATCCACTGACACTAGACTATACACACACGCGTTCATACACACGTTCCAAACTATACTAAAATATACCTTATAGTCTCTATTACTGAAGTATACTCTCAGGGGTTAATGTTTAGTTAAATGTTTATGTGTAGGCGTTATATTCTGGTAAAGGGGCAGTCTGGGTAATGTATAGATGGGTGTTATAGTGAGATAACTTTGTTCATTGAAGGAAGTACACACACACACACACACACAAGCACCAAAACACAGACAAACCAACATCAACAAACCTTGAATTATACAGGCAGGCAGGCGGGGGTTAAACACAAGCCAATATCTTAAATAACATCGATAATAACAACATCAAGAATAAAGACAACAACAATAACTAAAATATAAATAACAAAAGTTGCCAAGAGTCGCCAGTCACTTCAACAAATTAGTGTATTAATAACTCAAATAATTTTACCTTTAACCTGAATGTAACCTAAATATTCCTCACGTCATAATATTTATCACGTCATAATATTCCTCACGTCCTAATATTTCTCACGTCATAATATTCCTCACGTCTTAATATTCCTCACGTCATAATATTCCTCACGTCATAATACTCCTCATCTTATAGGTATAAACTGTCAAACATTACCTTAATCTTGTGTTAAATTAAGATTAACTCGAAACTATTAACAGAGACCAAGAGTTAACAGAAGATAATAACAATAATAATAAGCGCGAAAAATCATCCATTACCCCAAGTCAAGACGGGAAAACGTGTCGTACTGCAAGACGGGAAAACGTGTCGTACTGCAAGACGGGAAAACGTGTCGTACTGCAAGACGGGAAAACGTGTCGTACTGCAAGACGGGAAAACGTGTCGTACTGCAAGACGGGAAAACGTGTCGTACTGCAAGACGGGAAAACTTGTCGTACTGCCTAAACGAAACTAAATTACGACTAATCTGATCTAAAAATTAAAGTATATATTTTACAGTAGACTTATGACGTATATAATAACACAAAGGTAATTAAATAACAACTAAAATAATAAAGACACAAATTCCTTCAACAACAACTAATACTCGACAAGGATAGCGGCACCACGTTCGCCCAGCAGCCTATTAACGTATTAAACTCTACTCAGGTCGTCTATAACAAAAACAACAAAACAAAATCTATAGAGAACGGGAGGGTTCAAGCCGCGCCGGTTAACCTTTGCCATACATAAATTTCTCTTCGGCTCAGTACAAATGGCCCGTAAAATCGAACGGTTATGAAGTCGTAATAAAAGGCGGGAGATCTGATGGAGTAGGATCCCCCTGGCGAGGAATCGGGTCTGCTTTATTGGACTTGGGTGGCATTGGAACACGCAAATCCGATTCTCTTTTGTTTCTTGGGTGTTCGTGGTTTTTTGCGGTCTGTTGTTTATTATATGGGGTAGGATCCCCCTTGGCGACGAATCGGGTCTACTTTATTAGACATGGATGGTACTTGAACACCCACATTCGATTCTCTTTTGTTTCTTGGAGGTTTGTAGGGGTCTCTTGTGGTCTGGTACGATCCCTCTGTTAAGGAATCGGATTTGGTTTATCGAGCTTGAGTGGCATTGGAACATTAAAATCCGATTTCCTTTTGTTTCTCTGAGGATTAGGGGGTTTGTTGCGGGGTTATGGTTTTTGTCTATGGTTGCCAGGTGAATGACAGTAGAGGGAGAGTTGTGGTGGAATGTTTGACTTTAAGTGAAGGGATGAAGATGAAATAGATGCGGGGGGGAGGATGTGGAAGAGGAGGAGGAGGAGGATGTGGAAGACGAGGAGGAGGAGAATAAAAGAAGGGGTTCACTAGATCATAAGACGCATCACACACACACGTAAATAATCACAAGTTAACTGTGGTCTGTATCATACCACAAGACGGTGTGTGTGTGTGGTCCTCATCATCATAGGCCGCCATCACACTCCTCGTAGGTGCTATAAGACCCCGTGTTACCAACTGTACATCACAGCAACAGAACACTGACTTATAAAAATGCCATCACACGGAACTAAACCCTGAGACAGATGCGAACTTTGGGTCCTCGCGCCTCACCAGATGTCTAAAATGTCGATAATTGGTCTAAATCGGAGGCTGGTAGTCCATAGGCCACCATCGACGCTTCCAGTAACTTCCCGATAATGTCTTTAATCGTTCCAATCCAGCTGCCCAATCACCGCCGCCGCTTCTGCCTTCAGTCACCAGATGGCGTCGTGAGTGACACCTGACCTTTCTCTCCAGCAATCTAGGTGTATAATTGAGGGGTGGTGATGATGGTGGGTGATGATAGTGGGTGGTGATGGTGGGTGGTGATGGTGGGTGGTGATGGTGATGATGGGTGGTGATGATGGTGGGTGGTGATGATAATGGTGGGTGGTGATGATGGGTGGTGATGGTGGGTGATAATGAAGATAGTGGTGGTGTAAGTAGTGGGTAGTAGTAGTGATGATAATAAAGATAGCAGTAGTGACGGTGCTAGAGTCTTCTTTTTTTTTCTGTATTTAATAGAATTGTGGACAAGATCATTAGCATTATACAGTGAACCAAGACACCCAGGTATCTCTCCCAGGTGTAGTCCTCTCTTGGGGTAACCCACTCCTTCAATACACACTAGACACTTGATTACGATGAGGTAAGTCAGATTAACCCCCAGGTAACAAGACCCCAGGTAACAAGACCCCAGGTAACAAGACCCCAGAGCAAACAAGACCCCAGTAAGACCCCAGGTAACAAGACCCCAGGTAGACCCCAGGGCCCCAGGTAACAAGACCCCAGGTAACAAGACCCCAGGTACTAACAAGACCCCAGGTAACAACTGGACCCCAGGTAACAAGACCCCAGGTAACAAAGATTTGAACAAGACCCCAGACCCCCAGGTAACAAGACCCCAGGTAACAACTGGGACCCCCCCAGGTAACAAGACCCCAGGTAACAAGACCCCAGGTAACAACTGAGGACCCCAGGTAACAACTGAGGACCCCAGGTAACAAGTGAGGACCCTAGGTAACAAATTAGGACCCCAGGTAACAAGACAACACCACTAAGACAATATTTACTAACATGTACACCAACTTCCCACACGACAGTACCAACTCGTGTGCACCAGTCTAATGATCCGTTGAGCAGCCCAAACGACAACAATTATCTTCTAACTTCACTAACAACTACTGTATTGTACTTCATAAACACTCAGCACCCACCCTAACGACACTCAGATACCTGCAGCAGAC